GTTCCGCGGTTTCAGGGCGGGAGGCGCTCTCCAGGGCCGCGGGGCGGGGAGCTGCTTTTCAAACGCGCATTGAAAAGGTATGTTTCCAAAACATACTAAAAATGCTGAAAACAAACAAGCAAACAGTGGAGAGAGCCAGGGGCCAGACGAAACTCGCGGCCCCCCTGAGGGACAGAGACGGGAGCAGCGTCAGGGGCTCCTGCGTTTTCTATGAAAACCACAAGAGGAAAAGAGAAAGAAGCTAGAAAATAAAGAAATAATTCAGCATTTTAAACAAGAGGGTAAAAACAAGTGCGCTCTTCATGTCCCTCAGGAAGCCGTCTCCCGAAGGCTGTGACATCAGCCTAGCGTCGAGAAGTGTCTTGTAAACAGCCGCCGATTCTGCTCTGACCGCCTCGCCGGCTGCTGACCCGAGCGAGTCTGCGGGTCGGGCAGGGATTCTGGGCGCCTGTGGGGCCTAATGGGGAAAAAAACGTTATTTAAAAAAAAAAAAATAATAGTACTATTAGGGAAAATTTTTTTTATATAAAGATATCAAATAAAATCTTTTCAACATCCCAACTGAACAGCTTGATTTGGTGCCGCGAAAGCAGGCATTTTTACGTTAGGTTTTATCTTTGAAACCGCAATTGATGGACCCCTCCAAATATATGGCAGGGCATTACCCTTCCTGACCTGGTGGTGGTGACTAGAAAGTTTGCTTTGTTGTCTGTCCCTTCTCTTTTGAACACCTTATTTAACACATCTCACTCACACACCAGAAAAAAGATTTTAAATTCTAAATAGTCTCCATCCACAAGAAACTTTGCAAGGGTAGATAATAAAAAATGTAAACAATCATTTTACGTGCTACAATGTATCACAGTTCACATAAAAAAAATCTAATAGCTCTTCCTCTTCTTTCATTTAGGAATATAATGTAAAGTCTCTTGTTAACGAGAGTGGATTTTGAATGTGATTCAACTTTTTCATTTAAATGTTTCCAAGTGAGGAAGCACTTTTTTTTTTTAACATCTTTGAGTTTTAATTAACATACAAAAAACTACACATAGTTAACATACACAATTTGATGAGTTTTGACATGTGCTAGCACCCATGACACCATCACCACAATCAAGGTAATAAACACATCCATTACTTCCAAAACTTTCTTTGTGTCCCTTTGGTTTTGGGGGGTTTTGCGGGGTAGGGGTTGGGGTGGGGATGTAAAACACTTAACATGAAATCTAGCCTCTTAATAAATTTTATTTTTTTTAGCCTCTTAATAAATTTTAAGGTGCATGACACCATATCATGTACAAGCTCTCTGTTATACAGCGGATCTCTGAGAAAGCACTCTTGCGTAATGTACCTGCGTATTGTGAACTGTCACCTGGACGCCACTCAAGGAGCACTTAACTTGCAAGAGGCAGAGTTTGGGGGCTGTGTCCACCAGGTACCTCCTAAGCCTCCCTGCCACTGGGGAGGAGTGGAGGATGGAACACCTTCTAAGCTGTGTCCACCCCTGGCAGCAAAGCAGCAGGTACCCATGATGCTCATTTAATCATTCATTCATTCAACCAACCATAATGAATCCGGTCCCAGGTCCTGTTCTAGGTGAAGGGAACAGTCAAACCCAAACAAGGTCCCTGCCCTCTGGCCTACATTCTCCTAGAGGAAAACAGACAGTCGACATGACAAAGAAAAATATATGGCATCTTAGATGATGATAAGTAGTCAAAAATAAAGCAGAGAAGGGTCTATGGAGTGGCTGGGGTACACGTTGTAACTTTAGGTAAAATAGCCAGGAGAAGCCTCACTGACGAGGCAACATTTGAATAAATGACCAGCAGGAAGTGAGGGGGCCAAGCAAGCAGTGAACTGAGGCTCAGAACTTGACCCATTCAGAGGCTGGAGGAATTCCTTTCTTTGCGGTCAGCATTCACCTACTTACCTCTAATCCTTCTATGTAAAATTTTCCAGAAGGCCCTCAATTACCTCCTCTTTTTCTCCAGGGATGTCCCCTTGAGGGCAAATTTCAGGTCTTTTCAGATTTCTATTTGCACAACTTTTAAAGTGATTCACATGTCTCTCTCTAGGCTGGCTGCAGGCTCTGCAGGGGAAAGCCACCAGCATTCCTGAAGTGGGTTTCTAGCCTTTCTCCTTTAGCTAGACCCTCCCACTGCCCTAGGGGTCCCAGGTGTGGCTTTCTGAAGGTCATCCCACCCAGCCCCATTTTCTCCCCACCCTTAGGAGACCTTCTTCCCAAAGCCAAGTCAGTTGGCTCCTGGTTCCACCCGGTGAGGTGGTTTGGTTCTCTTCCATCCTGCCCACAATGGGCCAGCACGGGTCTTGAAAGTCTCGCCTGCCCAGAAAGGCAGCGGTTCACCCTCTGTCCACCTGTCCCTCATTCACTCACCCAGGCAGGAGGGCTTGGTCCAAACCGTGCTGTCCAACAGAAACAGAAAGCAAAATTTTATTTGTGATTTTGTATTTTCAATTATATAGTGGCCACATTTTTAAAAATGTAAACCATCATAAAAGGAATAAAACAGGTGAAATTCCTTTTACTAATATGTTTTCTTTACCCCGATATGTGCCAAATGTTGTCATCTCGACATGTAATCATTATAAAAACATCAATGAGATTTCACATTATTTTATTTTGTACCAAGGCTTCGAAATTTGAAGTGTATCTTACACTTACAGCTCATCTTGGTTGGTGGCTGCCATCTTGGATAACTCCGGTCTAAGAGGCAAATCAGGGCAGCCACCCCCCCTCCCCCTTGCTCTGACCCTAACTGGGGAAGAAGTCCTGCTGGCCTTGTCTGAGGACTTTTCTGTCTGGCTTTGACTCTGGCCTCTACATCCTCTGATCCGCACCATCCCCCTCACCCTTCTCCCTCATCTGCCCCCACACAAGGTACTCGGATCCCTCAAATCTGACCCAGTGCTCCATGGATGCCAGATCTGAGAAGAAGAGCCTAAAATAAAGACCAAACCGTGCCCCTGGTCCCAGTTCCCAGGTGTCTTCTGTTCCAGTCTGGGGCCCCTGCTGTAGGGAGTGGGTGGGGCCGCCTTCCCCCTGCGGAGGGAACACCACTGAGGTTCAAAGGTTCTGAGGTTCTGAGGTTCAAAGGCACCTGCTGATGGGAGCATTCTTAAGAAGTTTGGGGGTATTACACTCCACTCAATCTCCCAAGTTCTCTGATAGTCTTTACATAAAGCACAGGATAAGATAAGTTCGGGGGCTCTAATAAGAAACTTTTCTGGCTCTTCCCTTCAGACACAGAACCGGGAGCCCTCTGTCATGGGGACAGAAGTGCGAGAAGCGGAGGGGTCTAAATCCTGGCTCTGTCACTCAGTGGCTGTGTGACTTTGAGTAAGTTGTTCAACCTCTCTGAACTTCTGTTTCCTCATATATACAACCGAGAAGAAACTAGCCACTGGATGTACAAGGATGAGTGATGACTGACGGCCGGCTAGGAAAGCACCTAGTAGGTGTTGAGTTAATGACACTTCTTGCCATAGGTGCAGCACAGGTGGCGGCTGTGGTTGGGGGTGGAAGAAATCAGCTCCAGCCACAGGGGGTGCTCTGTGCCCCCCAGCCGTCGCCTCGGCACTAAGCCGGCCAGTAGCTCAGAGCTTTATGGTTTCAAAAGCCCCCACCAGTCGGCATGGTTTACAGACACCAGGGAATCATATCCCTTCCCCGCCAACTACTTCTATTTTGATTTTTAGAAAGGCTTGCCCTTAGCAGCTCCTTTTCCCATTCCGAATCAGTCCCTTGGCTCAGCGTTTCCTCCTCTCTGTCCTCAGCCCTCCGGCTCAGAGAACTGACCCTCACCCAGCCTCCTCCTGTTTTCCTATGCAGATCCCTTCTGCTATGCCCGGCCCTCCCACCCCCAAGCTTGAGTGGTGTCTCTCTCTGCATTTCTAGAGATTTGGCTGGTGCTTGGGAATTACGGTTTGGACAAAGGCCAGGTGGGTCTTGAGATGAGCAGAGACGGTTTGCTTCTTCCGGAACCACCAGCATAACAAAGGTCACCTATTTATGGTCCATCCCCAGGAAAGGTATTCAAAGATTTAACGTGTTAGTCACCTATTTATGGTCCATCCCAAGGAAAGGTATTCAAAGATTTAACGTGTTAATTGAAAGAAGTTATCTTCAACAAATACAAAAAAGTATCTAGAATCTTATGTGGAGCCCCTACAAACTAATGAGAAAAAGAAAAACTGATGAAAAATTGGGCAACGGATATGAGCATCATTAAAAACTGATGTAAACCAGGCGGACCCA